CCTTTTTTTTTTTTTTTTTTTTTACCCTCTATCTGTCCTGATGAACGGCCCCGATATTGACGAAGTTAGATATTTTGCGGACAGAGACATATTCTGTGCCGGGCGAGTGTCATCCGACGACATGGAGCGAGTGAACAAGGCCACCGGTGCCTCGACACAGTCTACCTGCAGCGACATCCAGGAGCACCACCTGGGCGAGTGCGGCAGTTTCGAGGAGCGCCAGATCGGCGGCGAGCGCTTCAACATCTTCTCCGAGTGCCCTGGAGCCAAAACATGCACTCTGATCCTGCGCGGTGGAGCAGAGCAGTTCATTGCCGAAGCTGAACGCAGTCTGCACGACGCCATCATGATCGTCAAGCGGGCGCTACGGAACACCAACGTCGTGGCCGGCGGCGGTGCAACCGAGATGGACCTGTCCGGCTACATCCACCGGTATGCCGACGTGAACGTCCCGCACAAGCAGCAGGCCGTCGTCAAGGCGTTTGCAAAGGCCCTGGAGGTGATCCCCCGACAGCTGTGCGACAACGCCGGCTTCGATGCCACGGACATTCTCAACCAACTGAGAGTCGAGCACAAGAAGGGCAACGTCTGGGCCGGCGTCGACTTTGACCGCGAGGGCGTGCGAGACAACATGAAGGCCTTTGTCTGGGAGCCGAGTCTGGTCAAGGTCAATGCCATCCAGTCGGCCGTCGAGGCTGCCTGTCTCATTCTCTCTGTCGACGAAACCATCAGTACGTCTTTCCCCTTCCCCGTCCCTCCCTCCTTCACCTCCTTCTTCCCACCTGTCTACATCTATATACTATGTCTTACTCTACTGACGTCTGATAGAAAACGAAGAGTCTGCCCAGCCACAGGGGCCTCCCCAGGCCCTACCGCAAGGCGCCGCCCAGCGAGTGCTACGAGGAGGCCGCGGCCGCGGAATGCCCCGTCGATGAAGTTTAAAAAAAAACAAATAAAATAAAATAAGAAGAAAAAGAAGAAACAACAAGCACGAGAAGCAGAAGATGACGAGCTGCATGCATTCTTGCATTACGGAGTACGCATGGCACAGATGAAGAAGAAGAAAAAACGCCTGGACTTTTCTTTGCTACCAATAATAGAAGACAGCATAGGATTTTAATATCTATCAAAAAGTCAACGCACAACAACTCTTCCGTGACACAACTCGAGTTGCTCTGCATCAACTTAGGACAGGCAGGACGGACAGGACGGACAGCCTCTTCCATGCACACTCATCAGCCCATCCTCCGGCCGGCAAGGACGCTGGCTGTGGCTGATATGCGCGTCTGGAGAAGCAGCGGAAGGACAGGGAGCAACACCCCCATGCGATGATAAGTAATCGCCAGACCGAAGCTGAGCAGGAGAAGAAGAAGAAGAAAAAGAAAAAGAAGACGACGAAGAAGCAAGCTGTCCGGCGTCCTGTCTGTCCCATGTACTCCGTAGAGCGGTCCCCCATCTGTCTCGTAGATTTCTGATCCTCGTAAAAATCGGCTGCGCAGGAGAAATTTTCATCTTCTTTGCTTTTTCCCCCTTCATCTCGTCCTTCGCGAGCCTCTGAGAGCATCATCACCGTCGCCGTCGCCGTCTCTCCATCTCAGTAGCGACCTCACTGTCTGTCCGCCGGGCCCAAAGTTCCCCCAGTCGTTGAATTTAAATAGTCACTCGAGCCCGCTTTTAGCCCGTTGGTTAGTCGGACGACCCCTTGCTGCGCCCCTCCACCGGCGTCTCGCACTCTTTTCCCTCCAAGCCCTCTTCTCTGCAGCAGCAGCTCGCGATTCTCTTCTCTCGCCAGAAAACCACCCAGCGTCGTCTTTGCCTTCTTCGCCCTCTTCGCCCTCTTCGCCCTCTTCTTCGCCGTCGAGCATGTCCTACTATCCAGGAGCGTACCCGGGCGGCCCCCAGCAGGGCTACGACCAGCCACCGCCGCAGCAGCACGGCTACAACCAGGGAGGATACGGGGCACCACCACCACAGCAGTACCAGTGAGCATGCCCATTCAGACAGACAGACAGACAGAGAAGAGGGACACTGACGAGAACAGGCAACACGGCTACGGACAGCAGCCGTACCAGCAGCCGCCGTACGGGCAGCCCTCGCACTCGCCGCAGCCTCACGCTCCCCCGCCAGGCGGCTACGGCCAGGCACCGCCGTCCCCCCAGCCGCAGTACAGATACCAAGTAGGTCTCACACAGTGTCGACAGTGCGAGGAACGCAGGGTCTGAAAGGAGCCCTCGGGATCAAGGGAATCAACAGGGTGAAGGAGGTGGTTTCGCTGACGGTCGGATTCTCTGCAGGACCACGGACAGCAGCAGCAGCAGCAGCAGCATCACGGTTACGGCCATGGACCGCCTCCCAACAGCGGGCAGATGCAGAACGGACGTCCCAGTAAGGCTCCTCTGTTTCTCTCTCTCTCTTTCTCTCCGGTTTGGTTGCAGACGGCTAACGGCGATTGCTAGACTACCAGAATACGTATGGCCAGGGCCCCCCGCCGCCGCCCAACAACCCCGTCTCCTTCGGCCATGGAGCCCCCCAGGGATACAACTTCCAGTACTCCAACTGCACCGGCAAGCGCAAGGCCCTGCTGATCGGAATCAACTACTTCAACCAGCGCGGACAGCTGCGGGGATGCATCAACGACGTCAAGAACATGTCCAACTACCTGAACCAGAGCTACGGCTACGCTAGACAGGACATGGTCATCCTCACAGACGACCAGCAGAACCCCATGAGCCAGCCCACAAAGGCCAATATCCTGCGTGCCATGCATTGGCTCGTCAAGGACGCCAGAGCTAATGACTCCCTCTTCTTCCACTATTCAGGTACGTCTGCGTACTTAAACCCCTTAATATAACAACTGTGTTTTACTGACCATATATGTATGCAGGCCATGGTGGTCAGACGGCAGACTTGGACGGAGATGAAGAGGACGGCAACGACGAGGTCATTTACCCCGTAGACTTCAGATCCGCCGGCCACATCGTCGACGACGAGATGCACCGCATCATGGTCCAGCCTCTCGTTCCTGGTGTTCGTTTGACCGCCATCTTCGACTCCTGCCACTCTGGCTCCGCCCTTGACCTCCCATTCATCTACTCGACGCAAGGAGTGCTCAAGGAGCCCAATCTCGCCAAGGAAGCCGGCCAGGGCTTGCTGGGCGTCGTATCTGCCTATGCTCGCGGCGATATGGGCGGCATGATGAGCGGCGCCGTCGACCTCTTCAAGAAGGCCACCCGCGGCGACGAGAGCTTCAAGAAGGCCCGCCAGACCCGTACCAGTCCCGCAGACGTCATCATGTGGTCAGGCAGCAAGGACGTGCAGACCAGCGCAGACGCTACTATCGGCGGTCAAGCCACAGGCGCCATGTCCTGGGCCTTTATCACCGCCCTCAAAAAGAACCCCCAGCAGAGCTACGTCCAGCTGCTCAACAGCATCCGCGATGAGCTAGCTTCCAAGTACTCTCAGAAACCGCAGTTGAGCTGCAGTCACCCTCTTGGTCAGTAGACTCACCCACTCTTCAAGTTGTTCTGTTCCACCCCCCTTTCTTCTCCGTCTTGCTGTTACGTTGCTTGCTTATTTGCGCCCTTTTTTCTTCTCTTTTTTAACCCTCCCTCGACCTAACACTGGCTGGTTCCCTTAGATACCAATCTTCTGTATGTCATGTAAGACGCCCACTATTACCTCTTCTCAAACCGTGAAAACACGTTTGCCATGACTATTCCGACAACAAGAAACTATATGAAAATACCAGGAACCCCGATAACCGCCTTGGACATACCTACTCCAATTAATCCTTTGAATGAATCAACCCCGTCCGTTCCGTTTCCGCCTTCTCCGTTAGCATGGGTAGCTCAGCGTTATAGGTTTACTTTACGGCTGTCTTTTGCCTTGCTTCGTCTCTTCTTCTTCTTCTTCTGCTTCTCTTTTCTTTCTCATGCTGCTTGGAATTATGGGTTAATAACAACATGACGGGGGCACGAAATCTGGGTCGTTCTGCGTATTCTTTTTCCTTTCTATTTCCTCTTTTCTTGACGACCCCCTCCCCCTTTATATTGATCAATTTGCTTTTTATCATGTTGTTTTCTTGCGGGCTATTCATCTCACTGGGTTACTTGGGCATTGGTATTTAAAATACTTTCATAGGTTAGCTGGGGATACTATTCATGACTTTTGACGTCTATTCATTTGTCTTACCCTTCGTCTATATTGTATGTCTCTTGGCTATATTTTACTTCTCTTCAAATACTCGTAATCCGGCATCAGCTTCTGGACACGTTCATACAAGCCCTCCGCAACACTATCCCCAAATTCCTCTTTCCACTTCCCATATCGAACCTCCATATCCAATCCCTTTGAAGACTTGGACTGGTCAAGGCCCGTGGACGCCCACAGATCACGCATGTAACTCATATGTCTTTTCGAAACGTCCTGTGCTTCAAGAGGCAGTTCCTCCCATTCAAACTTGATATGTCCCACACTCATACCACACGCACTGCAGAACTTGGCCAAACACTCTCCACTGAGAACATCATCCGCATCGATGACAATAGGCCAGGGAGAGGAAGCACTGTTACCGTCTGCCGCTGTCTTGGTGCCGTTGGACTCTGTAGCTCTAGCCACGTACCAGTCGTATAGGCTGCGAGAATACCGGAACGTCAAATACGACCAGACTCTGTCTTTGACGCCGATGGGAACGACTCTTGTTTCGGTCCTGTACCATGATTCAACGACGAGTGCGGGATGGCGAATCATAAACACCGGCTGCCATAATAAAAGGTACTCGTCAGGGAAGAAGGTCGTGTTTGTCTTCGTTCGTGCTGGTGTAGCTGATACGCCGCCCTCTGCTTCAGCTGCTAAAGGCCTGGGAACGATAGTCAGAGAGGGGACTTCTTCGCCCCGCTGTGCTTCATCCAACAAGGCTGATGGCTCAACCACGAAAAAAGAATGATTCTTCACAAAGAGGTGTTTATCCTGTTGCTGATCGTTAGTATCAATGGCCCGTCTGTCCGCCGACTTTTGACTTTGTTGACTGGGGGTAACTAGATTATGTACCTCCTTAATAGCATCTTCTCTCGCCTTCTGAAGTATCTCCGCCCCCTTGTGGGTTAACTCTATGTACTCCTGGCGCAGCTCATCGCTTATCTTGTCCAGAGGGGCCCAGTCGAATTTATCTCGAGCCTGGAAGAAGCCCTTGTCGAGATGGTAGTCTGATTGAACCCAGCCCCGCTGAGCCGAGAGCAAACGGCAAAACACATTTGACAGAGTCCTTGAGACGCTGAAGAGAAAGATATCCCGACACTTGGAGCGTTCACTCTGGCCGTTTTTCTGGCCGCCTGAGCTTGCTTGTTCACTGTCTGAAATCTCGTTGCTATGCATGGCTGGCGGCGGGTATGGCTATATATCGACAGGCATGTTGAACGTGAAGAGTTCTCGGGTATTTCCTCGGGCATCATGGCCGTATATAATTATGTCTATGCATCCATGCTCCCTGCAGAGCATCTCTCCTCCCACATTTATGCATGCATTGGACGATCAGTTGCATGTAGCCTAGGCTGGCTGGTGATGGCGGTTTTGTTCGTTAATTAGTTACCCGGCGACAACCCGGATTCGCACTGTGATAACAAATTCGGTCAATAGAGAAGTAGTTTAATATCACTCTTAATGCACTCGCATAGACATCTGCTTGTCCATTCACCTGGGCGGTTATCCGATACTTCTCTCGGTGTGAGTGATACGTTGAGGGGGGCTCGTGTTAGTTAGTCAACGAGGTAGTTAGGAGGATCCAACAGGAGGCAACCAACATCTAGTTAGTTGTGAACAACAAACAGTGTATTACCGGCTTATGCTCGACCCTGCGGTCAATAATTAATATATAACAGCCGAGAATAAAGCTGTGACATTCGTACTCACCATAGTACAAGCTGAGATGTGACAGGTGAAACGCTGCCTCTCACCGGATTCACCACCATGGCAGACGTCTTTCCGCCGTCATACGAATCCGCCACTACGCGAGATGCATGGCCGATAATTGCGCCCTTCGTCCTCGCTGCAGCAGATCTATGCTCTGCCTCTCTCGTCTCTCGAGCATGGCATTGCATCTTCGCTCCCGTCTTATGGGGTGCGCCGGCCTCGCATTTTGGGGCCAGAGACGACGCTGTCTACGGTGGGCATGCCCATACCATCCATCTATCACCCCCTCTCGCAAGAGACAGACCGTTGATATTCACTGAAACTGAATACATGAAAAGTCGCCCTCACGCGATTTAGGAGAGTGCTGAACATATCTCGGCCCTGTGTACGGCAGCTCACGCATACCTTGCATCTCCCGCCAGCACTGGCAGAGATATATGGTGAACCACCACCGACATGGTTGCATGAGTTCCTGGAATATCTCCCCAACCTGCAGTCTCTACTCCTTTCGAGGCTTCCCTTCTTCGATCACAGGTCTCTTGTTGCGCTGGGCAAGGGAAGGCAGTATAATACACGCCTCCTGCTGGCCGAGCGTGAGGTGAATGCGACACCGGCCGGACTACTAGCATTGCTGAACTGCTGCTTGCGCCTGACATATCTTGATCTGTCACATACCACCGCTGCAAGAGACCCGAGGGTTATCCTCGCCTTGGGCCAGCTGAGAGGTCTACAGGTCCTGAAACTACGAGGTATAGGCTTGCAGGATGACGACCTAGAAGTTCTAGCAAAGGCAATTCAGACTCGTGTCAGGCTGCTGGATATCCGAGACAACCGTCTCACTCATAGGGGGCTGAACATGTTGGTCAACCATTGCTTCCTGCTGAATGATGGTGATGGAGCCAGTATTCGTGAAAACCTACATTTTGGTCCATTGACTGGAGCTCTACTTGCTGATTCTACCCAGAGTGAACAGCTAGGTGATCAGCTACTACACCTCTTTACAAGGAGACTTAGCGGTCTTTCGGCACTGGAAGAACTACCTCACGTTGGCCTTACTCATCTGTATGTTTCTGGTAATAAGGTATCCGTGAGTGGTCTGATAGACATTTTGCATACAAAGAGGTTGAATGTGCTGGATGCTGGAGCTGCCAGCACCGGAATGGAGAAGCTCATACCAGTACTGAAGAGCCCAATTGCCCGGAATCTGACTTATCTCAGAATACACCATTCTATCCTCAACAGACAGGACGACGTTAAAAAGGAGTTGCCCAATGGTGTACTCACGGATGGAAAGGAGTCATCAATGATTCAAAGGCTTCTAGAGAAGCGGCCTGCCATCTACACGACCAACACCGATCAACCAATATATCTCCACCCATCCAACATCGCGCATATCCGAACCCTAGTTCTAACAGATGTCCCGGCATTTGTTCCTTCACCTTCTCCCATTATTTCCTCCATAACTCAATTCATATCTGCCTGTGCAGATGAGGCTCTCCTCGCCTCACTGCAGGCCGAGTCCAATTACTCCCTCCCCCCAGGCCAGTACCATGGGAAAGCCGTACAGCAACATGCAAAGGAACTCTTTGCCCTCCGAGCTATCGTCTTGGAGATATCACCAGGTAAAAAATTCGAAAAGCCAGAATCTTCGTCCGCTTGGATCCCTACAGGCTACTACCAGCCAGACACTTTCAAATCAAGCACTGGAGATCTAGACTCTGAAAATCTATGGGCGGCCGCCGCGAATGACTTCAGTTTCTTTGATGAAGACGAAACACGTTCTACTTCGAGTTCGGCAGTGGCTTTGCCTCCGGTACGAATGGTCGATGTGGTAGTTGAATTGGCTGCATTCCGACGAGAGAGACGGGATGCATATGATAAGAGAGTCCGGAGCACTGGAGATACGACAATATTACCTGCTGACGGCCATTGGAAGGGAGAAGTAAGGATCCAGAGGAATCATCTCTAAGAGGAGCCCAGCGTTTCACTGAATAGAGCCGTTTTCAATGGATGTTTGGACAAGAACAGTTTCATCTGTATTTGACCAATATTTAATATCTTATCAACATCGGCGGGGAGTTTTTGCGTTGGGTACAAACAAACTTCATCCGGCAATGTTTAAAAAAGATAAAATATAATTAAAACAAAAATCATTTCATGCCAGGATATTTCACATATTCGCCGCAGCTCATCGTTAAAAAAAGGGTTGCTTTTTCTTTTTTTAGGGGGATTCCCGCCGCCATGAACGTGCTGAGTTTGTTTGTAAAATGAAAAGAGGAGGGTAGAGCTGCTGCTGAAAAAAAAAAAGCCCTCCCTCCTAATTCCCCGCTTTATCGCTCCTCCGACGTCGAAAAGGTATTAAAGGGAAGAAAAGGAAATGATATCCTTTATCTATGCCTTAGCGGCAGCAGCTTGGGCGGACTTGGCGTTAGCAGCAGCCTGCTGGGGGTTCAACTTCTTGACGTCCTTGTTGAATCTGAGTCTTGGTGGTGGGGCACGGTTGCGGCGACCTTCTCGGGATCGAACACTGTGGTTATTAAAAAATGGTTCGTCAGTTGCTTTCTTTTCCTTCTTCAATTGGGGTCTTGCTCCTAGCTGATTTCAGGCGGATGGTGTGATATTTTGCATTTGGCTGCGGGAGATAAATGCATACCGGACGATCTTTCCGTGGATAGCGCAAGAGACGCAGTATTGGAGCTTCAGGTACATCTTAGGGACGGCATATTTGGTGAAAACGGAGGCGTCAGAGATATCGCCTATAATTCAACCCGGGTACATTAGCACTCTCAATTGCAAGGTGTGTCCACCGGCTCCCAAGTTGGTCTCTTTTAATAGCGCGGTAGAAATATCCTGGGAAGCCTTATAGGGCGTAAAACGTACTGACGGCGGCAGATTCAACCATGTTACGGATGGTGAATCTCTTGATGGCCTTGTCCTTGGGGGTACATCTAGAGCAGTTGGAGCAACGAATTGGCTTGACGTGGCCACGGCCCTTCTTGTTACGTCCACTATAGAGATGAAGAAGAAAAGGTCAGTTTCATGTTGGCGCAAACAACACATGGCCCGGTTCCACGCCAGAGCCTGAGCTTTGTTATCCAGGATATCTGGAAATCTGATATTGCCGGGGAGGGTATTTCTCAACGCACTTGGACGCCCGCTTCTTAACCATTTTGAATGACGGTGTGGGTGGCTTCCGCGACTGCGCAAGCCAGGTGAACAGACAGGTAAACCGGAGCGAGAGGGTGATCGAGGCTGGGGTTGCTGATGGTTGCGGTCGTTGTCGACTGGGAGAGATCTCGCTGTCTTCTTCGACTTCAGCTGCGACTTTCTTCGCGGGCTAAACTTTCGACGTTTTTCCTTCTTGTGGGCTAGGGCTAAGCGAGTCACATGATAGTATTATGTCATGTAATGACTAAGTAATGAGTAATGGATATCATGTGACAATCAGGTGACACGTCCCGTGCTTTTTACCCTTTTGAGAAGGAAAGGAAAAAAAACCCGCCTGATCTTCGTCCTTTTTCTCGCTGTCACGCCGAAGAAGAAGAAGAAGAAGACGACGACGACGACGACAGGAAATCACCGTCCGTGCCGCTGCAGCAAGGGACCAGGTCGACGTCGATTGCCATCCAGCTTTTGCCTCTCTCCCCGTTCCCCGAGCTAGTTCTCCTATTTTACTTTGTAACAAGATGTCGGCGACTGGCGGTACCATCCGTAGCCGGACCATGGGTCGGGGCCAGCTCCCCTTTGACTCTAACGCTTCGTCCGGCATCCCTCGCAAGGTCGAACACCCAATTCCTCCGAGCGTTGCATCTGATATTGGAGGAAGCTCTACCTTGAGCACGAGCAGGCAGAAGCAATCCAAACGAGATGAGGTATACTACATTCGTCTCCCGTCTCCCTTTTTTTTGTCTCTATCTATTCTGTCATTGGTGGAGGGGAGCGCTGGAGGGCGGTGATATGTCAAAATGCCATTATATGGACTGTTGCTAAATGGAATCTGTCCAGGCCATCAGGAGGAAGATGGAAGCGGACCTTAGTAAGAAGAAGTTCAACCCTTCGAAGGCCCGACACACTCGAAAGGCCCCGCCCGGCACGGTTCTTGCCCTCAAACCCAGTCAAGCTCTACAGATCAAACCAAATACCACTGTATCCGAAGCTGCGCAATTGATGGCAGCGAAGAGGGAAGACTGCGTTCTCGTGACAGATGATGATGACCGTATTGCCGGTATCTTCACCGCAAAGGATTTGGCCTACAGGGTCGTAGGTGCCGGTATCCGCGCCAGAGATGTGACAATTGCCGAAATCATGACAAAGAACCCGCTATGTGCTCGTACTGATACCAGTGCCACTGATGCTCTTGATCTTATGGTTCGAAAGGGTTTCCGACATCTTCCTGTCATGGACGAAAACCAAGATATCTCCGGCATTCTAGATATCACCAAGTGTTTCTACGATGCAATGGAGAAGCTCGAACGTGCATATAGCTCCTCCCGCAAGCTATATGATGCTCTGGAAGGCGTGCAATCTGAGCTAGGATCTTCCCAACCCCAGCAAATTATCCAATACGTGGAGGCTTTGAGATCGAAGATGTCTGGACCTACTCTAGAGTCCGTGCTTAACGGTTTACCCCCTACCACGGTGTCCGTGCGCACATCTGTCAAGGAGGCTGCTACGTTGATGAAGGAGAACCATACAACCGCTCTCTTGGTCCAGGACCAAGGGTCTATCACTGGTATCTTTACTAGCAAGGATGTTGTCTTGCGAGTTATTGCTCCTGGTCTCGACCCATCTACCTGCAGTGTTGTCCGAGTCATGACTCCCCATCCGGACTTTGCTCCTACTGACATGACTATCCAAGCTGCTCTTCGAAAGATGCACGGTTCGTATCTATATTTTCCTTTTCATCTTTTTCTCGGTCAAATTGCATACAAGGGAACTAATGCACTGGTTTAGATGGACATTATCTCAACCTTCCCGTTATGAACGAGTCTGGAGAAATCGTAGGAATGGTTGATGTTCTTAAATTGACCTATGCTACGCTGGAACAGGTTAGTCACATTTTGGGTGCCTTGCATTCCTGACTCAGATCTAACCCTATTCTTAGATCAACACTATCCAAACCAATGAAAGTGAAGGCCCAGCCTGGAACAAGTTCTGGCTGTCCATGGACAACGAGTCTGACTCGATGGTGTCTGGCAGCCAACCCCATCACCGATCTCTGCTAAGCCCAGACCATCGAGGCCATACCGGTGACAGTGTTTTGCCAAACGACTCTGCCTCTCACCACGGAGGTGAAGAGGCGCCTGTCTCAGAGGTTCAGGAACGCCCATCAGTAGAAGAGAAGCTTGACCCCTCATTCCCCTTCAAGTTCAAGGCCCCCAGCGGTCGTGTTCATCGTCTACACGTTGATCCGTCCGCTGGTATTGCCGAGCTTGTCCAGAACGTGTCCGCCAAACTCGGAGCTGAGGTTGATACCATCGGCGGTCAAGCCGTTGTCGAAGATGGGAAACTCAGCAACACCGGATTCGCCATGAGCTACTTGGACAGTGAAGGTGACACTGTCTCCATCACTGCTGACCAAGACCTTGTCGACGCCATTTCCATTGCCCGGAAGGCCAGCCAAGACAAGGTTGACCTCTTCGTCCACAGCCCGGATTCTACTCCGGTTGTTGCCAAGGAACCTGAGCCAGCTGCAGCCGCCAAAGCTGCCTCCCCTCCAGAATCCGTAACTGTTGCTGCTGAGGAGGAAACCGCGCATAGAGAGGAGTTAGCCAGCAGCCCCAAGTCTGTAGCCCAATCACTTGTCCAGCCCTCAACAGACCAGCAGCTCATCAACGGCATTCCTAACGAACTTATTCTACCTGGAGCTATCGTTACTCTGGCTGCTGTTATTGTCGGGGTCTTTGTGCTGAGCCGCGGAGGTAGACGATAGAACCCTGCAAAAGGATAACTTTGACCCTCTCCTTGCCTTTCTACAACCACTTCCTTCTAGCCAGCACTTTCGAAGACCCATTGGATACTCACCCAGTATATCAGTCACCCTGTTCTCCTCTGTTGTTTCCTTGACCTTTCTCTTGTCAGTATTATATTATAGTCCTGGTTTCTCTCCCTTTCCCCTTTTCTTAGCTTTTCTTGTTTTTAGCACGCACAATACTTGAGATATCCTTCCTTGTAATTCCACGAACTCCTAGCTAGATGAAAATAGATTCTCCTTAATTCATCACCACCAACGGCCCCAGCCACTATCATCATCACCGTCTATCCTGTCTTCTTTTCTGCCAAATAGCCAAATATCAGACATCAGTTTGTCCATCTGCAAAGCAAACGGCGCAAACCGACTATTTGGGACTAGTTCGAAATAACAAAAAAAAAAAAAAAAA